GATTCCTGCTTGCAGCATCTGGGGTAGAGGAGGCCCAGGTGAGATGCCCAACACTGGAAGCCTCGTGGGGTGTGGAGCAGGCATGCGTACTGGCGGGCCCGGCTCAGGAGGCAGTCCCTGGCCACTTAGACTGAAGTGGAAAAGGGTGTTATTACTATTAAAGGGGAATGCTATGCTACTTCTTCGGTTCCCACTTCAGGTATGTTTATATACATGCAGCTTGGGTCACATGATGGGTGCCACGTCACCCTCGCATACAGCCATAGTCACCCAGGTGTCCCTGTGGGGGATCCCAAGGATGTCTGCTGTGAACACATGAGTTGGACATAGCAGGGGGTCGCCTGAAGTGCCTGGGCCAGGGGTGTTGTAAGCACGCTGCAGGTGGGTCAATGGTACATTGATACAGAGAAAGGCTGTCTGTGTAGAATAAAGAGAAAATAAAGAGAAAGTGGAATAGATGAAGAGAAAGTGAAATAGGGAGAGAAAGAAAGCAGAAGGGGGAAGGAGGTAGGAGAGGACTGGGTGGTGGGGTACCAGGTGAAGTGGGGTCAGGCGGGTGTGCCCTGACAGTTACCAGCGCCCAGAGCAGCGAATACGAAGCCAAAGAGGCTAAAGACATAGTACAGGGGCAGAGTTCCCCATCAGTTTGATTATTAGTGAGATTTATGAGTTTATCTTTTTTTATCACATCGCACCCGGACCATTTCTCCTCCCCCCTTTCTCATCATCCGAACCTCCCCTGAGCACTCCCAACACCTAGGCCCCCTCTCTTTCTCGTTAGGGTGGTAGATCCCTTGACACTTTTGTCCACCAATAACCCAATGAGTCCTGATTCCACAAATAGAGAAAGACATGAGGGAATATACCTATCATGGCAGATGAATCCTGAAGGCCCAGGTATGCAAATAAACACCATACTGTAAGGGGTTGGTGTAGGTTCCAACCCCAGTGCTCCTCAATCCTCAGGTCGTCAATAAAGTTGAGCTGTATGGAGCTTTAATTATCAATGATGGGGAGGAAAAGGAGTTCTGTTCCTTTTCCCAAATTCCCACCTTATTGTATATACATTGTTTATACATGTTTATTATGAGACACATATAGAATTAAGATAGAAATTAGGGGTGGGGTTACCACTCCTTACACATACAACGTCATCAACCAATAACTGTTGCTTCTCTTCCATCACTACCACATCATTGTCAAACCTCCACCACTCATTGATCTTCCACACATACTCATCCTTTGGCTCATCATGAGAGTCATCATCACCATCATCCAACTTAACATTAACAGCCAACTTTTTCAGTGAGTCCACCCCCAGACAAGAGAGTTGACAAAAATAATTGTGGAACTGGGGGCAGGGTATTCTGAGGATCTCCTCTTCTTCCATGGAATGGGTGACAATCAATGAATGACTGCCTGGTATTCAGATTGAGGATGGTGAACATCCTGTGTGCTCTGTTGGAGGGACCGTGTGCTATGGGAGGCCGGATGAGTTTTCATACAGCCACATTCCCACATCCAAGCAAGGAACTCACCCAGACAGCCACATTCCCGCAGTAGCATGACTACTTGGTCACAACACCTTTTCTTCTTGGTCACTTCAGACTTATCCATGAAGGCCACAAACTATATTCAATCTTTTGAATTAGTTTCTTTTTCCCTCAGTTCTCACACATATAGTGAGACTGAGGTTAGTTACCTTCTTTTCATTTCTTATATCTTATACTCATTGTATATTACCTTATAGCTACTATCTACTAGAGCAAGCGGTTATTCTGTTATGCTCTACTGAGGACTTTGATGATGATACAGTGAGGGAAAGAGGGTGAAAAAAGTGATTTGAGATGGGTAAACTCATCAGGAGCTAACATAGGCAGATGATCAGAACAAAGATGAGTAATATGTGAATCTTGACTCTGACATACAATTCTCCCAGCCTGAGTTCTTTCTCATCTTGCATTGGTGCTTGATCTCCTTACCAAATAACTCAGCATGCTCATGTGGATGCACTTGCTCTTCAAGGGCCAAATAAGGTGAATTCAAGTCTGTAGGACCCTCACTTTGTTGTGGTATCTTCAGCACTTTTTCATGTTAATACCCCCAATTCCATCCTTGTTGACTTACTTCTTCTGCTCCAATGTCATCTTTGGCCACTTGGCCTCATCTGTGCTCAACAAGAACTGTGGATGCTTCCTCTTCAATTTGATAAACCTGATCCTTATTGAGCTCCAGCTTCTTAACCTCATGTGAAACCATTAAGTTAGCAAGATCTTTTGCCTAGGTAAGTGTCAGGGCACACCCACCTGACCTAGCTCCACCCAGCCCCACTTCACCCAGTGCCTCACTCCCCTCCCCTGCCTTCTCCTTCCTTCTCTTTTCTCTCTCTTCCTTTTCTTTCTTTCTCTCTTCTCTTTCCTCTTCTTTCCTTTTCCTTCTATCACATGGACAACTTCTTTGTATCAATGTACCATTGACCTACCTGCAGTGTGCATGCATGACACACCCAGTCCCAGGCATGCCAAGATCTGTACTTCAGGGGATCACAAAAACTAGTCTCTATCCAAAAATGGAAGTCACCGGTCAAAACAAAGCACAGTAAAAGCGAAAAACAACTTAGAACATGCTGGAAAAATCTACATAAAATCGTGTGAGACTGTATTAAGGTAATAAACATCCATGCATGCAAGAAAGCTGAAATGATCAGTTCTAAGTGCTGGCCATGCACAAATGTATGCGAACAACACACGTGATTGCTGATGGTGTGCACGAACTTTTGCTATCTTGGCAAATATTGAGAACTGGGAAATGACCTTAGTATCAATAGAAAGGTCGGAATAAATGAAAATCATTGGTGCAGAGAGAATGTGAGAAACCATACAGAAATGAGCAAGATATAGGGGAATGATGTGTCATATCCCAGAATCCCAACCCCACACTTCCCCACCTCACTGCACCTTCCTAACAACTTTGCCATCCCCTACACCATTTCTCCCTATGATCCTACCCCACCTCTGCCCCTACTGTCTCAGCTCCGGCCTGGACTTTGGCACATTCACCCTTGGCCATCTCCACCCCAGAAGCTCAGTCCCAAGTCGGAACCTTCAGAATCCCCAGATTGCTCCAACCTCCAGATGGACCTCCAGCATTTTGTTATATACTTCTAAAACCATTCTTCTACCCATTTCATTTATTGGAGTCACCCAATATTTCTCAGATGTGTAACTCCGGCTTCAGAGCTATCTGTATCCCTCAGTGACTCTGCCCTTCACCATCTTGATTAGTCATCACCCACTTCTAGCATGGCTGACATCTTCTTTTCATTCAGTCAGCTAACTCTCCCTTACCCATTTCTCATTTCCATTCATTCCCTGGCCTTCTACTCTGCCCTCCTCGACCTGACACCTCGGTTCCCCATTAAAGATACCCTTCAGAACCTTTCAGTATCTTTCGGTACCTTTTGGTATCATTCAGACTTTGACTAAGTCCTCTCCCCACTTTATATATACATGTAGATTAGAACCCACTGTACATTAGTTTTAATCTTGACTAAACCTCACCCCCAAGCTCCCCTATGAGTGATTCATGTTCCCCTCTTACAAGATACCTCAGACATCTGAAATTAAGGACTACTAAGATGTAATGGAGGCACAGCACTCCCCTCCAAGTCGCTGAGGCCACGTCCTTCTATGAGCCTCTTGTAGTAGTCAGCAGACTCAGGCTTCCTGGAGAAGCTTCAGTTCACTACTGGAGCTCTCGGAACCCCCCTAGTTGGGCCCTGTCTGCACCCAGGATCATCGTGTTTTGACAGTAGATTAGAACTCACTCCGTTCGATCTTTTCACAACCACCTAGGTTCACCTGCACTAGTCAGCAGCGATCCTTACAATCTATACCCGACCTCTGCTACCTTAGCACATCACCACCAACCCAGCTCACTAGAGTGCCACTTCCTAAGCCCTGGAAGACAGTTTGGGTAGGCACCTTCTCCTACCTCACACTTCATTCCCTTCATTGTCCCTCTTCGATCTTGCATTTCGCAGCTCCGTTGGGATTCCCAAACTTTCTGAAGTTTCCCCCAACCTCCAAGCAGCAGTCATACCCTTTGAGGTTTCCCTCGTTCCTTGTAGCCTCCGACTGGTAATTCAGGCTTAACGCTTCTGGACCACAAAACATCTTTTATCCTTGTCCATGTAATCAACACCTTTACCCATTCCCTCATGACTTCTGGACCCCACCTGTTGCTAGGACACTTACTCAATCGTCTGCTCCATTGAGCAATTGTAATTGGGTAGTGCTGCGAAACATGAAAGCACTTCCCAGAATCTCCTAAGGAATATACTATCCCGATTCAACACACCTTTTCGGAATACCAGTCCTGTCCTGATCACCAACTTGTCAGTCAGCTTTGGACTTATTAACTCCATTACTCTCCCTGCTCTCCGTGACCCTGAGAGTTCTCTGGAGTATTACAGAGCTCAACTGTCACCTTTGGACCTCCTTAATCAGTCAACTAGCCTTCCATTCCTCCCGAAATTCCTTCCAACCCTGGTTATTCAGATACCCTGTTGATCAGTGAGTTGTGATCCTCCCTTCCATGTTCCTTCCAGTCTTAGGAATCTGGTACCAATCCTATATTGAGGTTAGATGCTGGGACGTCCACCCTAAGAAGGGGATATGCCTGCCATTCGCTCACTAAGGATTTCCCTTACTGCTTCCACCAAGACCTACTCCACTCTTGTCGTCCCTTATGAGTCCCATCCTCTTGGGAGGACTCTGGGATAGACTTTGGACCTTCACAAACATCACCCCATTCCTAGTAAGGATCCTCCTACCTTCGGCTTTCCTCATCTCAGAGATTGCTGAGTTATAGAGGAACTCCTCACTACTGTTCCTTCGGATACTATGGGAGATTCTTCGGACCCTTCCTAGTATCATCACTCCAGAATTCCCGGAACCACTGGTTACACACCAACCTCACTCGGTACCCCCAAATTTCCTATGATTCCACTCCTACTACGACTCCCAAGGCTCATTTTCCAGCCTCCTGAGGATCTTCTGGACATTGTTTGTTCATCTTGGGATTCATGATCGCTTCCAAGGTCATATGCTCGAGGCTCTGTTGTTTGCAGTCCCTGTTCTTTTCTACCATACCGCCCCTGTGGAGCCAGTTAGGGACACCTCCCACCTTTGCACTGTCATATCCGTGCATACCCGATCCCGACCCGACTTCTGGAACTCCTCCTTCCCACCTCCGGAGTCCTACCCTACTGCTGTCCGTTCCAATACTCACCCTCGGTCCTGGCAACACACCTCCTTCTACCTCCGATGCCACCTCCACTCCTCCTTCCCTCTCCTCCCCTATCTCCGTCCACTCCAATACTCACCTCGGACCGAACACCGCCCCTCTTGCCACCCTCCTACTACTCCTCCTCCTACTCCTCCGCTCCTTCCTCACAACACCTCCACCCTTCCATCATCCTCCTACGCTTCTCCCGTCTGCTCCGATACTCACCTTCGGACCTGACAACTCTCCTTTCCGCCACTCCTTCCCTCTTCCCTTTCTCCTCTCTCTCCCCTCTGGTACTCTTCCGCCGACCTCCCGCCAAGTTATGACCTTCCACCGCTGTCTCGTACTTCGTACTCAGGCACCGCTCGTACCTTTGCTCCGAGCCTCCATCATAGTCCCTACCTCAGACTTTGACTCCACCTCGGTCTTAGTCCATTGCATTGGTGACCTCATACTACGTAAACACCATTGCCAATATTCCTTGGACTTCCAACCCCGCCTCCGTAAGCTCCACAACCTCCGAGCTTTGCGGATCACCTTCAGCACTTTCGCCACTTGTAATGTATCTCTCGCGTTTTCCCCTCATCCCTATTTGGACTGCTGCTTCTTCCCATTCTAGCCAGTTAGTCATCATCCCCACTTCCCATCATCCTCCTGCCCCTCTGGGCCTCGCCCTCCCTACCTCCTTTCGGACGTATCACAGGTTCTGCCTTATGACCTTCGGTACCGCTCCGCTTCTGTCTACCCTTTGTTCCCGTTCAGACGTCTTCATTCCGATTCGGATCCCCTTTGTTCCCTTGTGCTTTTGCCCCTTCCATTATATATATCGGTGCTTGTACATACTCGTTTTGGGCTCAGTCCGAAATCGACCTGAATGCCCCCTAGAGACTTCCTGCTCGCCTACTGTGAAATTAAGGACCAAATGGACAAACAGCAATGGCACAGCGCTCCGCTTGAGTCGCTGAGGCCAAGGTCCTTCCATGCTAAGTCTCCGATTCCACTCCGGAGTCATCTGAATCCGCGCCTCATCTCTAACATGCACCTTATTCACAAATCACACTCAGAATGCACGGTACAAGGGGGGGGATGTCATTCAGCAAATCAAAAAAAAAGAAAAGAGAACGATGTACAACAGGGTAGTTAAGATTGAATGGACGAGGGCCTGGCAGTACTGGGCGAAGCATATTCCACATCGAAGCACACACATGACCCACAATCCAACTCATCATCCAGATCCTCTCCTGCACCCCCATTCTCCTTCTTAGGCACCGGAGCCTGCTTCCCATCCACGTCAGCCCCATCCCCCATAACCACCTTGTCAACAGCCAAGTTGGCCCATGCACAGGGTTAGATGTCCTGGAAAGTGTCTGCAAGAGTCCCCATGTCAATTGAATCTTCATACACATCCTTTGTGATTTTTCTGAATCCTCCTGAGCACTCCGGAGTGCATTCTGGTTGTTTGTTTATTTCAGTACAGCTTGTGGTTTCCATTTTGGGCTGAAAACCAGTTTTGCGATCTCCTGAAGCACGGATCTCGGCACTGCCATCCAGGATTCTCGACACCGCCACCCTCACATGTCTTTCAACATCGTGCAGAACCTTGTGGCAAGGTAAGAAATTGCCACCACCATTACTCCTCAACAGCTGGGTTGATCTGGATGAAACTTGGGGAATCCATATTTATTATTTTTCTCTATTTTCTGAGTCCTTGCTCGTCTCTCAGCGACCAGTAGTGCCAAGTGTAGTTTTTGGGCTGGAGCAATTCAGTACCAGTGCCTTATGCAGAATTGTACTTCAAAAAATGAAATAAACATGCGTTTACGCTCCATGAGCATTGGCAGATGGTCCTCGCATGTGAGAAACCTGTAAGGAACGTAAACCACAAAATACTGGTGGTGTAGGGTATAGTAGGTTATCCTGCCTACAACAACCATAATCCCACCAGAGACCATGCCCTCCTTCTAAGAAAGTTAAGGGCCACACATTTAACAGAACGTTGGCACAGCACTCCACCAGAGTCACTGAGGCCGAAGGCCCCTCCACTTGTTCTCTCCCTCCATCCTCTTTCCCAGGACAGGTCCACAACCACACCCTGCATGCTGTGTAACACCACCCCTCTGACCTTACAAGCCCAGGTGACCTCATGTGCCCCTGCAGACCTCTGGATATATGTCCCTGACAGGAAGGGTGAAACAGGGTTTCACTCCTGTCAAAATCATAGCTCTATACTGCCTGATTTCAGTGGCTTGAGGACAGCAAGTGTCATATCCCGGAATCCCGACCCCACACTCTCTGTCATATCCGTACATACCCGATCCTGATCCAACTTCCGGACCCTCCTCTCCACCACCTCCGGAGTCCTACCCTACCCCATCCGCTCCGATACCCACCTTCAGATGTGACACCACACCACTCCTCACCTCCTCTCGTCATTCCTCTCCCCATTCCTCTCCCCATTCCTCTCCCCATTCCTCTCCTCACTCCTCTCCTCACTCCTCTCATCATTCCTCTCATCACCTCCTCTCATCACCTCGTCACCTCCTCTCCCCGCTCCTCACATCACTCCTCTCCCTCCGACCCTCTTCTGCCAACCTCCACCAAGTTACAACCTTCCACCACAGTCCCATACCCTGTACTCAGACACCGCTCGTACCTTCGCTCCGAGATCCTGTCATGGTTCCAACCTCGGACTTTGACTCCACCTCAGCTTAAGTCCACTGCATTGGTGACCTCATTTCAAGTAAACTCCATCGCCAATCGGAGTGGATGGGAGAAGGGTAGGAGAGTGATGGAAGGGTGGAGGTGTTGTGAGGAGGAATAGGAGGAGGGTGGCGAGAGGAGTGGTGTTCGGTCCAAGGTGAGTATCGGAGTGGACAGTGATAGGGCAGGAGAAGGATGGAGGAGTGGAGGTGGCATGAGGGGTGAGAGGAGGTGTGGTGTCAGGTGTGGTGTCAGGACCGAAGGTGAATATCGGAACGGACAGTGGTGAGGTAGGACTCTGGAGGTGGTGAAGATGGAGGTCTGGGAGTCGGGTCGGGATCGAGTATGTACGGATATGACAAGTGTCATGCTGTCAGGAACGTGTCGGATGCATATCTGGATGATCTGCAAGGCGCGCAAAGTCATCCAGGCTCATAAGGTCGGAGGGGTGGGACTTCAGCTTCAGCGACTCAGGTGGAGCGCTGCGCTTCATTCTTATGTTGTTGTCCCAATTTCAGACAGGAGCCTTACGATGTAGAGAAGAGACGAGGGGGGAAATCCAAGTCGATATATGAACTGAGGTACATCTGGTGCAACCTACATGTGTTATAAACACAACTAACTAAATAGGACTGGTGTCATATCCATGCATACCCGACCCCAACCCGACTTCCGGACCTCCACCCTCTTCACCTCCGGAGTCATAACCTACCGCTGCCGCTCTGATACTCACCTTTGGTCCTGGCAACACACCTCCTCCTTACCTCTCGCCACCCTCCTACTACTCCGCTCCCCCTTCACAACACCTCCACCCTCCCGTCATCCTCCTACGCTTCCCCCGTCCGCTCCGATACTCACCTTCGGACCTGACTACTCTCCTTTCCGCCACTCCTTCTCCCTTACCTTTCCCCTCTCTCCTCCCTCTGTTACTCCTCCACCACCCTTCCGCCAAGTTACGACCTTCCACTGCTGTCCCGTACTTCGCACTCGGACACTGCTCGTACCTTGCTCCGAGCCTCCGTCATAGTCCCTACCTCGGACTTTGACTCCACCTCGGTCTTAGTCCATTGCATTGGTGACCTCATACTACGTAAACACCATTGCCAATATCCCTCGGACTTTCAACCCCGCCTCCGTAACCTCCGTAAGCTCCGCAACCCCAAGCTTTGCGGATCGCCTTCGGCACTCTTGCCGCTTGTAATGTATTTCTCGCGTTTTCCCCTCATCCCTATTTGGGCTACTGCTTCTTCCTATTCTAGCCAGTTAGTCATCATCCCCACTTCCCCTCATCCTCCTGCCCCTCTGGGCCTCGTCCCCCCACCTCCTTTCGGACGTATCACAGGTCCTGCCTTATGACCTTCGGTACCGCTCCGCTCCTTCTACCCTTTGTTCCCGTTCGGACGTCTTCGTTCCGATTTGGTTACCCTTTGTTCTCCTTGTGCTTTTGCCCCTTCCATTATATATATCGGCGCTTGTACATACTCGTTTTGGTTCAGTCCGAAATCGACCTGAAATGCCCCCTAGAGACTTCCTGCTCACCTACTGTGAAATTAAGGACCAAATGGACAAACAGCAATGGCACAGCGCTCCGCTTGAGTCGCTGAGGCCAAGGTCCCTCCACGCTAAGTCTCCGATTCCACTCCGGAGTCGTCTGTTTCCGCCCGGTTCTAACAACCGGCCCAGAAGGGTGGCAGATCAAGTGCGATATTAATGAATGAAGAAAGAGACAAATAGTTAATATCAGAAAACTTGGTCAACAAAAGGCAAGCAAGAACAACAAGTGGCAAAGGAGGAACAATAGTCCACAAGTGAACAAAAGAGAAAAGGCCATCCGGCCATCTTGTCATATCCATCCCTGGCCATCAACTTCCACTCCCTCCGATCCCTCTGGTCTACCTCCGCTCCTCCTTCACTAACCTCGGAGCCCCTGTATTCCGCAATCACCTCAGTACCCCTTGATGGTCACCACCCCCTCCTTTCAATTTATTACCTACGCCTCCCTAAGTATGGAGCCCCGAAGGCTTCTGGACAGCTCCGACGTCTGCTAGCACACTCCCTCCTCCGCTGGGCAATACATTCGCTTGCCCTGCAAGCCCACCTTCAGGCCTATCCCTCCTTTCCCATTTCTGGGTTATCGCCTACCATTCCATTAACCCCATAACCCGACTTGTCAGTAATACTCAATCAGCTAATGTCTAACCCCGTTAGCTCTGCTCCACCATTTGCAGACCCGCCCTCGTTGTAACTATATATATACTCAACTTGTACATAGGTTACACCTCAGTAATAAAATCGACTAGAGTTTACCCCCTTCAGTTCTGGTTGCCAGTTTAGTAAGTTAGGGCATGGACATGTTACTTGGCACAGCGCTCCTGGCATAAGTCGCTGAGGCCGAAGCCCTCCGCCACGGAGACACTCCCTTGTCTCAACCTGGTCTCTGACACATCTAGCAAGCCATCCGGCTGGCAGGCAGACAACAATGAACCACTCGAATGGGCAACCTTGGTTGGAAGGTACACACAGGGGAGGAAGTGTGGATGAGGGTGACAGGTGGATGGATGGATGGATGGATGATGATGGTAGCGGGTGGGATGGGCCAAGTGGCACTAGGAAGCGTTGACAGAAGTGACAGATATGCCAGGTCGTTGTAACAGGTCTATCACCTAGACTCGAGACAGAGAGAAGGGGGAGGGTTGTAGTGTGCGCGGGTGTGGTTTGTGGGGCTGGGTTTTGGTCCTGGGGCGCTGTGAGGTCTTTGGGGTTGCTCAGCACACAAAGCCGTAAGTGATACAAGATGATGTATTTTACGGTGGTGTGTAAGCGGTTACCCGGAGGTTCCCGCTTGTCCACGTGACTATATCTATCTAGTTTACATGTGACTCGGGGTTCGGGGCTATTGCCCTGACATTCTCCCCCCTTGCGTTGCATATGCGACGCATACAAAGTTGATAGTGAATAAAAACAGAGTTTTAATAGTTGGTTTACATTGAGTTTGGAATTATCAATGAGTGTTTCTGTTGTCGCCACTTTAAAGTGGGCGATTTTGTACATGTTGGTGAAAGGAAGAGAAGGGGTTTGAATGAGTGTGGGCCGTTACTTTGAAGTGAACGGCGATACATTGGTATCGCAGGGAGAGAAGAAAGAAGTGGTGGAGTTTGTCGAAAATGGATTTCGACCCAAAGGTTGTATTTCTTTGGTGTTCCTCACTTGTTCTGTGAGGGTTCGTGTGTAAGTGGTGTTTACACACGAGCGGTGGTGGGTGTGGGTCTTTTGGCGGAGTGGAGATTTCCGCAATTGTTACTTGCGGTTCCTCGCATACAGTTTTGTGTGCGGGGCCTCGAGTTGGGGGGGGTGTTTTCACGGGTGCCTCGATGGCGTATTACCGTGTCACTCTCCCTTCTCTCAAGGGTGGATTCATTGCCCCGGAGGAGGGTTTTCCTCCGGGTTGTTCATCTGGACATCCGATTGCTGCGTCGGATGCGATGACGTAGCCTGGGCTACATTGTCGGGCTGTGGGCTCGACGAAGTGGGTGCTCCCTGGGTGGGAGCGGGTTATTGTGTTCCTGAGCTGCTTGGCTCAGGTGTAGAGTACGGTAGGTTTACCGTTCTTCCCATGGGGAAGGATGGTCGTTGGGCTGGTTGTCCAGCTCGGAGACTTGCGTCTCTTTCCCGGTATTTGGAAGCTTTCGCTTCCCGCTCCGCCGTTCTTGCGGCACGTTCCTCAGGAGTCCTGAGTGGTTTGAACTGGGACTTTAAGTAGGCAGCTTTGCCTAGACTTTCCCAGGAGATTTTTCCCTTGTTCTCCGGGGAATTATATTCCTCCGCGAGTCTTGCGATGCTCGGGAGTCCCAAGAAGTATTTCTCGGTTTCCTTCGCTTTTTCGCGAAGGGTTCTGTGTACCTTGCCGCTTTTGAAGGCGGCTTCAGCCTGTTCGTACCAGTGTACGAATTCTTTCCCACTCACGCTTGTCCACCAAGCGTATGCGGCGTCATGCGCCGCTTCTGACCCCGCTATTCTCCTCATGGGGAAGTTGGGGTCGATTGTTATGTCGACTGGAGCTTCGACTTTGCCGAACTCGTTGAGTTCGGCGGTCTCGTATAGCATGTGGACACTTCCCTGCAGGGTGGCTTGCCCATAGGGTGCTGAGGTACTCAGTGGCCCGCCGCCTCTGGCAGTGGTCCCCGTTTTAGGGTCTGCCGTCGGTTGCCTACCACTCTCCCTCTTCCCCTCGACATGGGTTTGCCCCTCTGAGGGCGGGCCTTTATGCAACCCGGACAGGGTCGCCTGCCCATGGGGTGGCGGGATAGTCGGTGCCCCACCCCTTGATGTGCTAGTCCCCATTTGGGGTCGCGCCTCATGAGGCCCGGAACCGTATCCCCTCCCCCTGACCTGGGAGGCCCCCGTCATGATGGGTTTGGCAGCGAGGTCTGCCAGTGCGCGTGCCTCTCTGAGCTCGCGTTTCAGTAATTCGATCTCCCTTTTTTGGAGATCGACTTCTCTCTCTGCGTCTTTCAGAGAGTCAAAGATGCCCTCAGCATCTCTTCGTGCTCTATTGTATTCGCGCCTCCAGTGGGCGCAATGGTCGCAGGCGTCTTCTGACACCCTCGAGTTATTAGACCGTGCCCGCTTGGACGGTCTGGACGAGGAGCCGCTGTCGCTCCCTCGTCTCCCTCCTACGAGGGACTTCATTTCTTTCAGCTCCTCACGGAGTTGACCTGTCTGAGCAGCTACCGCTGACGCGATGGCTGATTCCCAGCCTGCATTTGGCTGGGGCGTTGTTGGACCTGGGCCGAATTGGCTAAACCAGGGGTTGATCTGGCCAGGGAAGTTCCCTGGGGAGTATGCCTGGGGCTGCAGCAGCAAATGCTGCCCCTGGAATGGCGCTTGTTGCGCCATCGGTGCAGTTTGCACCGCGTATGGTTGGAAGCCTCTTTGGGGAGGCTGGGGGTGTGCGATGCCTGTTGGCAACGCGGATGGTTGATGGTTCACAGCACTCATTTGTGCTGCGTGCGTCGTGTAATCCATGGCGCTTATCTGCGCCTGGTGTTGTTGTTGTTCCGGGGAGCCTTGCTCCCCGGGTTGTCGTATTTCGATATCCAGCGGTTTGTTTGGATCGAACCG